GGTGAAGACAGTTACCTGTAGGAAGACAAGCTGGGGTTGCAGCAGTGGACCCAGAGCTTCGCCAGATTGCGAAGAAATAAGAGAGTACTTTGATGCGTGTAGAAAAGCATTAGTCACGGATTGCAAATGCAAATAAAAAGTTAATTGAAAGCGACTTTTAGAAATGACATCTGCTCTTTAGAAGTAATAAAAATTGTACATACGTATAGCTTTTTAGCAGTGCATAAATATTTGTAACATAGAGAAATAAGCTTACTACATCAACGTCTATGAAAGCAAAAACGTTGAGCGAATGGTTTGATGATCATGTTGATATTTTCGTATTCAACAAAATGTTTTTATTCAATTTGTTTAATAAAGAGATGATTAGCTCTCTTCACGGTATGGTGAAGTACAAAAGACGAGTGAAAGTAAATCGTGTGAATTTTCTTGGTTTGTTCGAATTCGAGTTGCAGTAGATCCCTAATATCCGGAAATTAATGTTAGATTTCTGTCCTCCCGTTTGCTTTGTGAGCTTTCCTTTTTTAGTTTCTCCACATTGTTCATTCTGTTTACAGAAAATCGCCCTCAGTGGATTGAAAATTTATTGGCGCAGTGCACAGTAGATCGATTTTAAGGCTCCAGGGATATAAATAAGGGTAACGGTATTCCAAAGCTGCCGTGTAACATGTTCATTGCAGATCTTACTAATTGAATTTTGCGATGCTCCCAAATATGCACTTATAAACTGTAACAGTCTTTCCTATCTGAGCTCAAACTTTCCTCCTTATGGTGAAACCTTGCGTGAGTACATGGAGTCACTTGAGTGCTAAAAGTCCAATAGCGATCTTGTGTAATGATTTTAATGGGGTTTAATGTCAAAATACCATCTGACTTAGCCTGATGACGTATTTTGGGGATAAACTCTGAGACATAGCAAAGCCGGGAACATGTCTACAACTCATGATATTTTGTTACTGGCTCGCAGCCTAAATATCTAGACTTTTTTCTCTATGGACCAAGTCATGTCTGCTCGGAACGTCAAAATCTAAGCCAAATTATATCACTGTACAACTCAGAGAATATTTCTGATATAGATATATTCTGATCTCATTCATGCGACTAAGGGCATGCAAGACGTTAAGTAAACAAGGAATTTCATGATGACTACCATCACTATTAAATGGCCTGAAGTGGTGTTGTGTATGGATATCCATAACCAGGATATCCTTTGTTTTCTCAGTTTTAGGATTATAAACCATTGAATGAAACCAGCTCTCTTCCACGCAAACGTCTAATAGTAAAAGAACTGACGCCTACTTTTGCTTCAGGGTACAAGTTATCTCACCATAAGATTATTTATTGTAGCCTTTGTTTTTTTCCTCTTTCTGTTCGTAAAACCTAAAAGTTATGCCGCTTTAATCTCAAAAATATCATTTGGATCCTCCGGTAAAATCCTCCGGTGAGTGACACAGACTAATGGAGTGTCGTTGTGGACAGAGCTTTGTCATAAATGTGGTGACGCGTCAATAACTAATGGTATTTTGTCAAAGATTCGCACCCAGTCTGTAACGCATTTTTAAACCTTCAAAATTATGGTTCATTTTCATTTCTACATTGAATAACCTGGATACTTCTCGCCTTGTAACTGAACTCATATAATTTTAACCGAGCGGCGGTACACGCGAGAAAAACCATGCCTTGCACGAATTAATTCGAGTTCACCGTTGCAGAGAAAATACCGGAAAATGCATGTTTTTCGACTGGTTAACTCTAGTGAATATGAAGTTGGAATGCGCAAAACGGCTGTGAATGGCAGAATAACTGTTATTTTCCATGGGATAACCGAACAGTAATAAACGGTAAAACGCCAGAAAATGCGTTTCATCGAATTTGCTCGAATTCACCATTGGGAAGAAATGTTGGAAAATGCATGCTTTCGACTGGAAAACTCTCATGAACGTTTCGTTAACCGTGCAAAAATGGTTCCGAACAAAAGAAAACACAAGATTTTCTACGCGTTGTAAGAACGGCAAACACAGGAAATCATTACGTTTTCCTGCATTTACACACATTAATCTTCCAGGAAAATGCGTGTTTTCAGCGGTGAATACTTTGTTGTACACTGGGAAAATACCAATAAACAGAAGGAAAACAAACTGTTTGCAGTGCGTTAACTGAGCGGTTAATGCCGGAAAATGATTTGTTTACCTGCATTTACCGCGAAGGAAAACTACCGCACAGTGGAACGAACACTGGGATTCACCGATGCGAAAACGCACAAAACACGTCGGATTTTTCGTACGCAAAACATGGGTAAACGTTTGTAAAATGCCGCGTTTTCCGTTTTAGCCGACGGTGAACGCTAGTTTTTTTTTTTTTGCCGTGAAATTTCGTAAACCATGTACACACTTCCGCGTTTTCTATTAATGTATGCAGTGGTAACGCATCCTTGACACACAAACATAATGTAAACAATAACAAACGACATTTTGTAACAGCGTCAAGCGCTTTTTCCTTGAGGAAATCTGAAAAAGGACTTCCGTTGTTTAGTTTAAGGATCAAGCTTCCTTAGTAACTATCTTTGAAGAATTGATTAAAACCCTGAATTTATTCTAACCACCCAGTATGGAAGGTGTAATAGTAAAAGAACTGATGCCGCACAACGTGCCCAATGTGCGTGTTAAATTCGTAGCCTTTCTCCTTCTCCTCCTGGATTTAATCATATCGCGTTCATGATTTAAAGCCAGTTTTTATTACTCAAATCCAGCGGCCTGTGTTAAATTTGTCATAGTGATGCCTATTTAATACCATTTTGCTGAAAGTGCTCAAATGTCTAATAGATAAAAGTCACACAAGAACAGAACGTTGAGGTGTTTTTGCTGGAAGGAATAACGAGGATATCGTTAAACTCACTGTTATTTGGGGTAAACGGAACACAAATCAGTGATCCCTGAACAAACAGAAATTTGTCCTCCTCCTACTGACAAATTAGGGAGCCAGTTATGTCTGCATCGGCAAAGTCCATTTGTAGTTATATCAAACAAAACTTGAAGAACAAGAATAAAATATTCAGTTTTGCTAAAATTAAGCTATGTCTATCAGATTCGATTTAATTTCAATGCCAGGAGCTTACCTTGGTTATTTCAAGAAAACGGCAATATTTAATTATTTGTGTTGAATGTAAGTTCCCATAAATTGAGTAACAAAAAAGTGACTAGAGTGACACTTCGAAAAAAAAAAAAATTAGCCGACTTGGAAGTCTTTAAGGCTGTCGAGGAAGTTTTATCGAAAACGAACAAAGCATAATTTTGCTCTTATCGTCTCAAAAGATATTCCTCTTGACCGGACCGGATTTTGAAAATAGAAACGTATATAAGGCGAGCGAAGAGCTGAGAATCACAATGAAAAATAACCTTTGAAACGATTTTTTTAGATCAAGAAGAACTTTTGCAGTTTTTGCTGGCCAAGTGATGTCCTATCGCGTTAAGGTAGGTAATTTATTTTTGCATTTTCTTCTGGAAATAATTTAATCTCCAAAGGTTCGAAGAATGGCAGGAGAAATCTACACCAAACGAAATTTGTGTCACAAAATCTTAATCATCTCACCGAAATAACGATATCATTTCTTAAAAACGAAAGCTTTAAACCTCAAAAAAAACACAGTTTTTAAGTGTGAAAAGTATGAGTAGATGATGTAGATTGGCCTCCCGAAAGAATTTCTAAAGCTGACGTGTCGAGTGTTAGCTATTGTTAAGGGTAGGTGATGAAGTGGAATAAGGGATTTCCGTTTTACACTCCCTTGCAATTAAAGCATTTAGAGATTTATGGAAATAAATATTTGTGAAATGTTTACACCCAAACAATTTCCAAACAATCACATCTATGCAATCATAGCGTTTGATTCTGTTTACGAAGAAACGTAAGTGATTCTGCGCTAGAGAGGATTCATCAAAAAATTGGTTTTTAAAAAAATAACGTAACCATTTTGACCTGCCTCAAGCATGTAAATTATAGGCTTTTTCTGTTCCTTTTTACTCAGATGTCGACATTTATCATCGTATTCTGCTTACTTCTCATCCATATGGCGAGAATCGCTCCATTTCCGTTTGGTGGCCCTACTCAGCAGAATGAAGACTTCGCCTATCGTGACAGTGGTCAGAGTGGTAATGCAATAGAAGAACGAAATGCGTTACGTGGCAACGGAAGCAGGAATAACAGCTTAAGTTTATCCCGCAATCGAGTCACTCGAAGTATTCATCCATGTGTCGTAAAGAATTCTCGAAAATCAGCACTGGGTTGTAATGGTATAATAACGGTCACTTGTAAGGAGACAAGCTTCGGTTGCCTCAGCAGGTCCTCAGCATCGCCAGATTGCCAAAATAAAATAACGTATGCATGTGGAAAGGCATTTGTCACCGACTGCGAGTGCACATAAAACGACCTTTGGAAATTTCATCTGTTCACCGAAGAAATAACTGTTATACTTTTTCTCTTTAAATATAATCAAAGTTGCTGGTACTTTTTTAACAGTGCCATAAACTGAGTATGTAACATAGCGATATAAAGCTGACTATCAGCCAAAACGCGGTGCTTGGATTGTATAGGTAAATACTGATTTTTTCGCATCCAATTACAAAAAGCTT